GCACAGAATACTTACATGGAACATTTTCCTCACGTTCAGGAATTCGCACTTTCCCATCCGACTCGCTTTCTTGTATGCTTCATTTGTGTCCTAGGCTCCCCGCATGCCAGGACCAGAAGAAAGCGTGTTGCTGCCAATCAGGCAAGATTGGTTTATCTATTTATCAGTGTCTATTTTGAGTCGCTGAGTTGCGACATCCTCACTTGCAAATCCTGCAGCCGTGTTTGATTTTCCGACTCTTTCGGGGGCTTGGGCTGCAGGAGCTCCACATGTTTCGAATCTGAGGTCTTTGCTCAGCTCGCTATGCTATCCCTGGTTTCACAATGTTTCACCTGCGCAGGCTTCATTTTTGACTTCAACACACGCCAGTGCGTTTCAGATGGGGAAGATCCTTCCAACAAGGAGGAAGAAAACTGGGGACTTGGGGATTGGACAGACAGAGTCAACATTTTGCGAAAGGAAAACGCGCTTTTCTGAATTTCCACATTTCTTATGTAAACCAGTTTCCGCATCCTCGCATGTTTCTGAACGCTTGGTCGCTTGACGCTTTAAAAGCAAGTCTTAGAGCCAAACATATTTGAACCAAGTTAAAAACCTCTTGCCAAAAATTTGCCCAACAACATTCTATTTCAAAGCGGCTGGAAACATTTGCCAAGGGCTGCCCCTTTTTGTTGTGACAGCCATCTTTGGCAGGAGCCTATCCCTGGAACAGAGGCCTGGGGCATTATCTATGGCCACGCCAGAAAGAAAACGTTTGGGCTTAACGCCAAGAAGTAGGCACCTTAGATTCTTAGATCACATTTAGATCACCTGAATCTTCAGAATGGAGTCATTCTGATCAACTGTGCGTGGCTGTGCTCCATGAGGTGCGCGTGGCATCCCAAGAAGTGGTGCTGCAATCGTGGCTGTCAATACACGTTGCAGAATGATAAGTGTGGACAATGCGGTTTTGCCCCTCGCCTCACGACAGACAAACGGGATCAAACGGGGTGCTGTAGGTCCGATTAGGTCCGTAGGTTTGTTATGTTTCACATTGTTTCACTATGTCACTATGTTTCACTGTTGCACTTGCTCCCCTGTCGAGACCGACGGTTCAGAATTTCTCCGCGTCTGCGGTTGCTTAGGATGAGGGAACTACAACTCCGCCGAAGGAGGTCATTAAGAAATTCATCGCAGAGAATGGTCCCTTGCCGAAATTTCTTGTCACCTGATGTCCTCAGATGGCCGTGTGGCTCCTGCAGCCTGTCGGGGTGGTATGTGTGATATTTTCTAGGGCACACCAGGCCTTTCAAAGTGAGATGTGGTGAGCACATGAAGAGCCTAATGGGTGTTTTCTATTGTATGTTTTTTTTGTTGCCTCAATATGCGTTCTGACGCATGCAACTTGGTGTGGGCTTGTGGCATTTGTCGCACAATCTCCAAGACGAGGTTGTGCATGTTGTGCATGTTGTGCGACTTCATGACATTGGACACAGACGATTCAATGTTTTCGGACGCCTCACCTTCCGAAGATTTCTCAGGAAATTATGTGATTCCTCGTTCCATCGCCAAACCCGGTCCTTCAGGAGACTCAGCTTGAAAAGGGCATGAAAGGGAATGAAAGGGCATAGAACAGGGTGTGGGTTCAGAGATTCTTTACACCTTCAACCTTGTCCATCACTGTTAGGGTCCCAACTCACCAATATTTCTGGCGTTTCTGGGACGGGTTGAAACATGTTGAAAACATCAACCAGTCAGGTTGAGATTCAGGTTGAGCTCGGCAGGAATAGCTAGGGAACGCATCTCCAAAGTGTGAATGAGTCATGACAGATGCTTATCACGATGTACTAGTGGCATTTCACAATATTTCACATGTAAACCATCAGTGTCTAACATTTGTCATTTGTGAATGGTTTGTGAATGGTTTGCAATGTTTTACATATTTTTACATGTTGATAATGGTTGCCATGGTTGGGCTGTTGCCACATGTTGCCACTAAGGTGTTTGCTGGGTCAAGCACTCGAAGAAATGTGTTGCCCAGGGATCGACTCAAAGTCTATGCTGCTGCTATTCAGGCAGGGATCCGATATGATCCGATGCCAAGTGAAGGGTGCATGGTTGGATCATGGTTGGATCATGGTTGGATCATGGTTGGATCATGGTTGGATCTAAACGCGTCGAGTAAACATTCGGCTGGCAGAAAACCTGGGAAAGATGTTTCCAAAGTTGCGCCCATGCAAAATGGAAGTGCGACAGCAATGTGACAGGTCTTCAAGTGGCAGACTCCACCTCTTCTCTCATTTCTCAACCTGTTGCATTGACCGGTAGTTATTTCCAAGTGCCAAAGTCTTTCAAACTAGTTATGGAGCGTAGACAGAGCACTTCTCTAATTGGTCATGACTGGTCCACCGGCCGCTGGGGCCTCATAATTCTGGTGGGCTTTTGATGCCGCAAGCCTTCGACGTCGAATCGAGGTTTTTACTTCTTTGCGTCACGACGATGCCTGGAACCTGCTCAGCAACAAAAAGACATTGAAGAAGACGAAGCAGAGGAGTCGTGCCGAGCTGTAGCCGAGCTGTAGCCGAGCTGCCGGACACACGTGACACAACATGACATAACACGACACAACACCTACAACTTATCAACTTCATAAAGAATCATAAACGTTATGGTCATAAGTGTCATAAGTCAGAAATCGTCTTAAATCATGAGATAACTTTATTTCATTTTGGCATCAAATGACCGGACTTAAAAGGACACGAGAAAAACATAGAAAAACTAGGAATCACTCCATATCACTCTTAAGTGGAAAAGTGTATGACATGTATACGGTACGTATACTTGCCGCATATTGCCACTCTACAGGTGAATGAGGTGACAAACAAGAAAGCAGGGGGCGTTTGCAAGGGCTGCATTAAACGGAACCCTGTTTCTTTTCAATAAACTAACAAATAATTGCATATCCCCAAAAACAGGGTATATATATATACAGCAGATACCAGTGATGTACCTGAAGTCCATCCAAATCCATCCAAATCCATTAGTTATGATATGATACATATATAATACAGATTATCATTATGAATTATATGTCCAGATATTTCCCATTGAAGGGCCGGGGGGGTGCTTCATTTTCGAGCCAGGATGAAGCGGCTGAAGCTGCAGCTGAAGCTGCTGCTGAAGCTGCCCAATCTGACCCCACTCAAGCCCCGACGATTGCGAATGACGACGACCTGAAACGAGCAGCTTTGTTGAATCCTTTTTAGATTGGATAACTTTGGAGACCACCCATTTTTATGGGCACCAAAATGGAACGATATGAAATGAACTTAACATCTTAACCAGTTGCATCCAGTAGCATTATTTCATATTGAGGGGACGGGATGGTTGATTTCGTTGTTCTTTGGGGCATTTTTTGTTGGATATGAGATTCAGCAAACACATTGATGGAGCGGCCCTACCGATATGAGATTGATGTGGTTTGAGGCACTGAGCAGAAGTGTCCATAGTGGTGGGCTCAGTCCTTTGCGTTCCCAGATGAGTTGTGAGTGTTGCTTGTGGGTCTGTCTCTTTCTGCGTTTGTCGTGGGAAAGCCGCTACAGCGACTTTAACCGCAACTAGGGACTACGAACTGTTACAAAAGCTCTCAACCTTTCAGAAGGCTTCCGTCCTCGCTACTTTTACCAAGGCATCCTTTGATCTCATGAATCCCCTTGGTTACTTGATATTACTTGATGTTACTTGATATTACTTGATATTACTTGATGTTACTTGATGTTACTTGATGTTACTTGATGTTACTTGGTTTTGTATTCGCGCCAAAGAAAGCCATCGCCCAACATCTGAGGTGGCAAGGCAAGAGATGGGAAAAGAGATGGGAAGGGCATGTGAAGTCAGTGAAGTCTGGATGTGACAATTTCATACAATCTGCAACCACGAGTTGGGGCATTTTTTTCAGTCGGCACAATTCAAAGAGGCCCTCGCCCCCCCTATTCATATAGCCCCAGGATCGTAATGGAGCCGGCCACACCGGGTGCCAAGACCTGCAAACTCGTGGGTCAGGGCGTGTGCAAGGTCGGTTTTTTGAAGGATTAATGATTGTTAATGTGAGAGTCCAACATCAGCTAAGCAGCTGAATTTAGCTAAACTGAGTGCAAGAGTGGCTTGCACATTTTGCGAAGCAGACATCAGAGTTTAGATGTGTTTAGGTTTGTTCCGTTGTGCCTTCTCAGCAGGTGATAAGATCCGATAAAACTTGCAGTTTAAACATCAGCTTACGAAGTCATGGACTGGTCATGGTTCGTCCATGTCAGTCGGAATGATAGACACGAGATCCCTTGCCCCCGGTTGCCCCCGGTTGCCCCCGGTTGCCTCGGGTCACGACGCTCTCTGAGTCTCTCTTTGGCGCTGTTGGTCTTCATGTTTGCCCTGTGGCGTTGAGGAACCGAGGAGGCTCCATACGTCAAGCCACATCAAGCTATGTCAAGCCATGGCTGTCTCCTCTCCTTCCCATGTCATTCCCATGTCATTCCGTTGTTGGATCATGTTGGATCAGACCATGTCACCATTATGTCACCCTATTGTCACAACTGGAAAATGGCACTGTGTGACGAAAATTTGAATGGAATCGAGCTCAAACATATCCTCAGGCCACTGACTCATCCTCAGGGCCTATGGATAGAAAAGGGGCTTGCATCGTGCATAGTGAGCAGGACATAGCAGGACTGTTATCTAACGTTGTGTAAGGCAAGTTGCATCATAGAGTCTCTTGGCTGAGTGAACTGATCTTGTCTCCAGCTTGCAAATGGCAGCAAATGCAGAACACATGTGCGCCATTTGGCTTGAAGATTCGAAGTGAGCGTACCAAGCGATGGTCGTTTCATCTAGGCTTCTATCAATTAATTGCGCGGATGTCACCGAGAGAGAGGGAGAGAGCAGATTAGACCCCCAGAGAACCTTTGCCTCTTGGGACTCAGAGAGGAAATGCAGACGCATCACATCAGTATAGATCCGTATAGTAGAGCTCCGCTAATGGTTGCCATGACTGCCATGACTATCAGCTCAGCACCGGATACAACGAAGCTGAGTAAAGAACTTGTGGAACGAGCGGCAGCTGGAAGGCATCAAGATGTGGATCGGCTTCTGAAGGATGGCGCGGACACTTGGATTCGGGAACCCGTGCACGTGCAGTGTCAAACACGTACAGTATGGCATTGTTTGGCATTGTTTGGTTCATGGTCCATGATCCTTTTTGGGGGTTGAGTGCTTTGCAACACTTCCAAATGCCATTTCTCGAAGTGCGCTCCACTCTTTCCACCCTCAAGAATTCCAAAGAGGCATAGTATGCAAATGTATCCAACGTGTTTGTGAATGTTTGTCAAACATGTTTGCTCTCACTTCATATTTCTTGATGCCTCAGTAAGTGACCACAACATACCGTTCAACATACCGCAACTTTGTGTCATTTTGTGTCAGCTGAGGATAAAGATTGGGCAGACCACAACGGCTACACAGCACTGTCTGAAGCGGCCATGGCAGGTCACACCATCGTAGTTGGACAACTTCTGCGTGGCAATGCAGATCCCAACCGGCAAGCTTCGGATGGACGCACTGCTTTGCACCGTGCAGCCTTCCATGGATGGATCCCAATCTTGCGGCTTCTTTTGGAACATGGGGCAGACCCTGAACTGAAGGACACGGATGATCGCACAGCAGCTGAACTCACACGAAAAGAGTCAGTCACAGAGGTCATAGCCAAGGGCGCCGAAGAACACCAGGAAATCATTGAAAAGCGGCGCTTGGAACGCCCAAAAGAGCCTCTGAAAGAAGTTAAGGCAGAGGTCCCAAACCTTCCCAAAAGAGCTGGACCTGTCACCCGAAGATTTGTTCCAGAAAAGACGGCTTCAGATCAAGATGGAAAGCAAGATGCGAAACAAGACCCAAAGGACCCAAAGGATCCAAAGGATCCCAAGGATAAAGAAAATCAGGAGAACCAAAGCAAGGACAGCAAAGATGGCAAAGATGGGAAAGATGGGAAGTTCTTGGAACTTCATTCGTCCTTGGACATCGTTACTCGGCCTGATGACTTTGCTGGTCGAGGTGGTGCAGGTGGATACCAAGGCGAGGTGCGACTGCAGCAGGGAAGTCTCATCGTTGAAACCTCCGATGGCCTTTTTTCCAGCGATGAGGTCAAACGGGAAGAGTGCCTCGTCATGCCATGTCATGCCTCGTCACATTTGAAGCATTTTGAAGCGTTTGCCGGACGCATGCTCGACCCAGCTGTTCAGTTGTTCAAAATGCTTGTGCAGATGAATCACAGTTTATCAATTGAGAGATGAGTAGGCAATCACGTTATGGACTTCATGATGCTTCATGTTATGTTCATGCTATGTGTTCAATAGATTTCAATAGTCAATAAGATTCAGTAATTAGTTCTGAAATGTTGTGCGACCACCTCCAAGGCAGCCGAGTCCCGAAGAAGAAGCCGAAGCTTGGCTTCAGAACATCGGTGACATCGGTGACATCGGTGTCTCCGTGATCCCCAGCCTGGACTCGGTGATGAAAGCCAAATCACAGGCGCAGGAGTTGTTCAATGCCAAGCAGGTCAGTGACTGGGTGCGATATGCGGTCATTGATCGCATTGATGGCCATTGCCTTTTTTGTTAAAATTTTTTAATTGTTCTAACCTCTCATCTTGAGGCATTGCGTTTCTCATGTTGTTTATCAACGTGCGTATAAGATGTGTTCAACAGATTTATTCTTGTATGTTCTTAAGATTTTCTTTGTCTTGTTTTTCGCTGCTGACATCAGCTGCTGGATATGTCTGAGGTGAAGCCCGCAAAGTGACCACTGCTGCGATACGAGCAGCGGCTGTGTTGCTGGCGAAGGAAGATGCTTTGCTGCAGCTGGTCACCATTCGACGGCCACTTTTGAGGCCAAACATCTTTCGAGAGAATGATGTGGAACGAATGGTCAACATAGGTCAACATAGGTCAACATAGGACATAGGTCAACATAATCTATTCATATCTAGTCATATCTAGTCATATCTAGTCAATTTAATAGCCAACTATTCTGTCTAGATTGACGTCCTGTGGGTGTCCTTGACGGCCTTGACGTGTTGACCAAGGATGAGATGGACCTGACGGAGAAATCGTCTCAGCGAGAAGATTTGAAGACGTTGCAGCTTGGCATAGCTTGGCATAGCTTGGCAGATCTCAAGGGATGGCGCAACTCATCAACGGATATCAACGGCACTTTCCACACTGACTGAGTCTTCCAGTGAGTCATCCTGAGTCTTCCAGTGAGTCTTCCAGTGAGTCTTCCAGTGAGTCTTCCTGAGTCTACCTTTGTGCATCTCAGGTTTGGCGTTTTGCACTCCAATCGCAGCCTCCTGCTCATGAATCAGATCCAATCCAATGACGAGGAAGTCCTCCAGTTTGGTTCACATGCGGCATGGACTTTGGTAGTGAAGGATGCTTGGTGGAATCACCGACTATTTGACGATTATATTGTCAATGAGTCTTACATTTGGCATATTTCAATCGGAAAGAGCCTGGTAAATGCCCACATTTGCCCACACTTGCCCACGATTCCACAATTGTCTGACTGACTGAGTCCATCAGCAGAGGGTTCGAGACATGCAAAACAACTCAGAAAAGGAAGCAGACGCGGCCAATTTTTGCTGAGGATACTGACGCGGCTCTCCGTCAGAATCCCTCAAACTTTAAGGTCCCTTGGCAGCCTTGGCACATTTCTGCACGTCTTGCCTTTGAGTTTAGAATAGTTAGTATGCACAAGAGAATATCTTGGTACAGTACCTACTACGATCTACTAGATTGCTATTCAGTTTAACACGAAATTCCACCGCTATTCTGATCTGTATGGATCTTTAGTATCGATCTTCATGGTGAGTTCGAATATGTTCGAATTGTTGTTGAAATTTGTTGAAGTGGTGTAAAAAGTGGTGTGCGCTGAAGGCCAGTTTCCGGCGAGCCAAAGCTCTCTTCGAGTTGGGCGAGTTGGAGCAGGCCATGGTCGACGCGACCAAAGTGGCAGCTCGGAATGTCAGTTGAGTCAGTTGCAGGTGTGTCATTTAATTGTCAATTGCGGGTTTGCAATTGTGGAGTATTGTGGAGTCAAAGAGTCTCCAGAGAAATACAGTTTTCAGTGACAGAGCCTCATGCTTTGCTACAAATGTCAATGAGTGGGCCAGTGTTGGTTTTGATTCCGGTGCTTTTTCGGAGATATCAAAGGTTCAAAATGCACGGCAAGCTCTTGACAGGTGGTATCAGCACATGTCAGCACTATACATGGCCAGAATGCAAAATTGAAGTGGGTGCAGTTGAGGTTGACCACTACGCGCGAAACACGCAAGTCTCAAACCCGGAAGCGGTGGCCCTTCGCCAAGCCATCCAGCAACAGCTCAAGAAGGAGAGAGCCAAATGGGGCGACAAAGGCGGGCCACGCTGGAACCGTGCAGCACAAGAAGCTTCGTCGCCCCTGATCTCGGAAGTGGGACCGGAGTATGCTGCCTGATTTGCCGAGAATGCTGAGCCATGGCCGCCAGGCCTATGATTAAAACAGTTCCGCTGTGCGCTGTGCCCAAACATGGTGCAGATGCGCAGTAGTGTGCCCCGTGATGTTTCTGCATGCCATCCAGGGATAGGGCTTCAAGAATTGCCCTGGGCCCGTTTCACAGTGCAAGGAGCGCAAGTGCATGTGTAGCAACTCTAGCCAACAGCCTGTATAGCTTGGCTTCGGCATGAACAAAAACAGTGGAAATGGAAAGACCAAAAGGCAAGAAGATTTGAACTTGCACTAGGGTAGTTTTTGTTGGCGAGCAGGATAACAATGGATAACAGCTTAGTTGGGAATGCGTGCAGATGCCACAGCCCAAGGGACAAGCTCTGTATGTTTTTTTGGCTCACGCGAAGCTGCTTGAGATATCCTACCGGTGTACGTGACGAAGTAGGCAGCACATGCAGTATGCAATTGAATTTCATTACGAAGGGACTTTTTGTGTTTGACCAGGGTAAGAAACATGCTTTGGGAGCAACTGCGCAGGACGAACATAAATGATCCTCACCAAATACAGGCAAAGCATATCAAAGTATCATGGCAGCTGCTCGAACCGCAGAAAGAACACGACCAACAAGACATTGATAATTCGTTGCTGATTAGTGGCCAATTCGTAGCACATGACTGCAGATGGCAGGGTCTGGTCTCTTCAATCGCGCCTGGGCCCGAGTTTGGTTTGAGCCACTGCCGCTGGTATCACCCTAACCGGCCCCGGCCACTCCATACCACTCCGAAATCTCCGTTGATGAAGCAATTTGGACTTTGCAGGTGGCGATTCCAGGGCCCTTCGAAGAAAAACCCGTGGTTGATTGGGGTCCTAGCCTCAAATGCACGTCAAATGCTTGGAAGTTGTGCTTCAGCACGAGTGCTTGACACTCCCAGATGCTATGCTTAGCTGTGACTTGTTTCCGAGCTTCAGGATGGAGGGACTCTGCTGAAGCTGCTGAAGTCGTTAAGGAGAAGGTGATCTCGGATCACCCGGAGGCCAGCTTTTAATGAACCAGCAGGTATTCAAGGTGCCAGTGGGATTCACAGTCGTTGAGATCATTTAATCCATTTAAATCCATTTAAGACATTTTAAGACCCTTGTCCGTCGTGAGAGATTTCAAACCTGGAGGTCATCAAGGCTCCAGCAACTCCAGTGCAAGAAATTCCAAGGTGGGAATTCTGACGAACATTGATGAACCCTTCAAAATGATTCAAATGCAGGAGCTGCAGATGTCACATCCCAACATTCCTATCATTCCTGGACTATACCTGCAGGGGGAAGCACTGTCAGAATTGACTTCCTGCGCTTGAGTATAGTTGAGTGCGCCTGAAGTATAATATGAAGTCAATATAGGCAGATTAGTCAAGGGATGTCAGGCTGATGTCAGGGGTCGCAAACCTGTGACAGGCTTCATCGATCTGAATCGCTTGGGGTTTTCAATTGTGCCGAATGTGTACTGGCCGTCACCGGTCACACAATGTCAGGCCGACACCTGTTCAGCCTGATCCCAAGGGGAAGTTTCTGGGCAACGAGCGGAGGCCAGGAGCTGATCAAAAGTTGTTCAGTACTTCTCGTTTTTTTTCGGCCTTGGCCGAAAATATTTGAAGGATTCGAGGACACACTTGTATGCATGCGTTATTAATATATATATATATTACAATATTTACACTGAACATGGACTACGTACTTGTTACATCTTGTTACTATACTTTTGCCTTCAAACGTTGCTCGGATGATCTCGGGTGACTTTTTGTCTCCTTGCACTGTCAGGGTTTCCATCTTATCCGTGGAGGTGAGTGGTGCCCGCTTGAGCGTTGGGGTACCCAGCGAAAGGCGTCTTCTCTGAATGGCTAGAAACAGATGACTTTGGTCTTGTTGAGGTGGGAAACCTCTGAAACAAGGAAGAACGAACTTGAAGGAACTCTTTGTAGAACTTTGCAACTTGAAACAACAATTTCATACAATTTCATACAATTCGTCGATTGAAATTGCCTCTATTAAAACTCCCGAGGCGTGCAATGGCGTTTTCCGATTCGATGGCCTGCATCAACAGAAGCCACTCTTCAAAGCTGACAGTGGCGCCATCATCTATTTTAACAGGCAGCGGCTTTCATATATCTTTCATAGCGCATGCGGCGTTCATATGCGTTCATATGCGTTCATACGTTCACAACATGTCTAGAGCAGATAAAGAACACGTGGCTGAGATGACCATGGAGTACATTGGAATTTTTATTTATTTGATGCGTTGAATGCATTCCTGCGAGATTTTGGAAGATCAATGGGGTCTTCAAGACGAGCTCATGGATGTTTGGAGCTGAGATGCAACTGTGTGTCAAGCAAAGGCAAATGCACCAGATTGTTGAAAGGCAGGACCGGCAACAACAAAATGGATGAAATGGCCGGAATGCATCGGAGTGCTCTAAATTTCCAAATGCGCCTTTTATCTTTCTGATTCTTTCAAGGTACAGCAACCCAGAGAGCAAAAGTAGTTTACCGCCGGAGGGCGAATGGACCTTGGAAGGGTCAACACCTCGGCTGCCTCAGACTCCGTCAGACGGTCAGACCGCGGAAACTCAGCTGATCAGCTGAGGTCGCTTGAGACCACTGCCGGCTCAGAAGCTGCCTTAGCCACACGTCAGCTTCGATTGCGTCGTATTCTTTCCAGATCTTTCCGGATATGATATGACTGATATGATATGATATGATATGGTATGATATATAATGTGTACACACACATATATATATGATATGTATGATATGTATAGTAAATATGTATAGTTAATTATACATGTAATATTGTACATTTAATTTCAGCTGATTGATTTCATGACTTCTCATGCTGTGATTTGTGCTGGTTAAGCTGATCATCGAGTCTTGTCTCCACGTGTCCTGCGAAGGCTCCCACGGTGAAACTTGTGGATGAACCCTTCAGAAGTTTGGGGCCACAAGGCATCGGCTGTGCCAGTGCCTGACGGATCAACATGTCGCTGCAAGCATCTGCGAGCCAAGGGAGCAAACTCAAGAACTCACGGCGATATATTACATATAGTTCATGACATGTTCATGACATTGACTGACAATCCTTGACCATCATTGACCTATATTGACCTATTGACCTATTGATTAACCCAGGCTGCCAAGAGGTTTTCCATCTCCGGGCATCGTATCAGCAGCCTCACGCTGCAGGCGTCTCTCTCCGGCTGCAGGGTGGCCGAACAGTCCGTTACCTCAGCCTTGAAGAATTGAAGCATTCCAGTAAGTCCTCAGGATTCCTCAGGTATCACGCAGTTTGTGCATCTTTCACTGTGTGCAGCTGGAAGCTGCTGAATGAATTCTCCATGCTTTTTCGGTTCTTCGTTGTGTCCAAAATGTGCCGCAGTAAGTTCATGAGAGATTAGGAAGTGAAAGACATAAATTACATAGGAAATACATGGAACATCTTGGAACTATATATATTTGTTCTGAGCAGCCGCTTTTACTTTGGCCTCGTGGCTCTTTACTTGGAACATCTTGGAACGCCGGGCTCAGCATGACAGCCTGGCAAATAAGCTGCACACCTGACAAACAGGAGACCAGTCCGATATAGTCCGATAATTCTACATTCTACGCGTGACTTCAGAAATGATACCCGGAGCAAGAGGAGTTTTGCCTTTTCTCTGCGCATTTGGCTCACCTTTGGGTTCAGCTCGGGCCAGTTGCCGAGGTTGCCATCTCGTGCCATCTCGTGCCATCTCGTGGCCATGGTTCATCTCACGTTTCTAAGGGCTTTGTGTGAAGCGAGGCGCTCTGCAGGGGACACAGTGTGTGGAGTTCTTCGGCATGTGGAGTTGAAAGACGTGGAGAGGTGTGAGCCGTGTGCCATTTGCCACGAAGACATGGGAACTTCCGATGGAACTTCCGATGGAACCAAAACATCCGGAAGTGCATCAGGCGAGGTTGGACAATTGCCCTGCAACCATTGTTTCCACAAGGCTTGCCTAAGACAGTGGCTGGTGTTGAAAAGAAGGTGCCCCTTGTGCAACCAAACAGTTCCCATAACTGGCACTGGCCATTGATCTCCGATGGGATGCTCCCAGCGAGTGGGGACAGGTTGGGACACTCCGAAGGGCAGCGTTCCATGGCCATTTGGATTTAGCCAAGGGCATCCAAGAGCCCATCTTCACCCAGTGCACAGTCCGAACGGACCCTGTGCAATTGGGCTGTAAAAGTATACAGATCATACAGTTGAACAAAGTGTCATGGTTTTAATAGAGCAAGAACAGATGCTCTCAGTTCTTTGGCAGGAACAGTTGCTAAAGTTGCTAATGTCAAGAAGCTGAAACAGATCGGCAAAAAGTTCGGCACATGAAGTTGTGAGCATAACGATGGAATGAATTGAGATGAATGGAGATGATGTTGCTTGATTTTGATGCTGAGCTTCGGCTGGTGCCACCGCGAGGTCCTCAAACGCGAGGAGAACAAGAGTTGGCGGTGGACGCTTGGTGGCATGAGACCAATCGAGATCGAGACAAGTCTTTTTCATAACTTCAAAATGTTTAAAGTCCAGTCCTTTAATTTTTTTAAAATAAAGCACATAACTTAAAATAACTCTTGGAAATGGCAGTGGCGATATGTTTGCGTCAAAGTATGGCTTCATTTTGTGTTGGCTTGCACGGAAGGTTTGGGAAGATCTGTGGCAGGGCGAAGTCACTGAGGATTGATGTTCCGATCTATGCTGAAAATGAATCTGCAGAGGCACTCTGTGCATGTGCCAAGCTCCGATGACCTTGGCACAGTTCATCACAGTTCACATCAGTTCACTTGACACCACTTGACATCACAGACATCACATTATAATCATTAGACCGATCTTGTTGCGCTATGAGTGCTATGAAAATCTATGAAAATCTGTGAATATCTATGAATGCTATGTTTCAGATATTCACGATGCGCCAGGACGGGATCGAATCATTGGAAGCTCTTTGCGCAGTGGGCTCACGGGATTCCTCGAACTCCATGGGCTCGTTAAACTCATGACATCTCATGACTTTCTGTTGGAAAATGTTGGAAACATGTGTTTTCTGTGGAGAATGGTTGCTTAGTTTTAGAGCAGTTTTGGACTCAGCAGTGGTGACCTGAAAGTACACATCATAAATACACATGCACACACACACAAACATTGTATTTGTTTATATATAAATCAAAGGATTTGACCATACCACATTTGCCTTTTTCCCCTCTCCATGGCACATTCTAGGGAAGCAGCTTCCGAGAAATTGCCTTGAGGCACGGCTTGAGAGAGAGGAGGCGGAGGATAGTGCTGAACTGCAACTCAGCTCAGCTTCAGATGTCAATGCATCACGTGGATCACCCATTGTGAATTTGTCAATTTTATGTTCACGTCAAAAAAAGCTTCTGCCTCGAGGAACTTTGGGCTTTTTGCCACATCAGATGAGTCTCCCACAAGTAGCAGTGTAGCCAAGACCAATGGCTACTATAGTCAGGCTCTAAGATCCATAAGAGATCCATGTTGAACCAGAGGATTATGCATCGTTTCACCATTAGTTAGTTCCTTTACCTCATTTGGCTTGCTCCATTCCATTCCATTCCCGTTGCTGAGGCTTCGACATGATCCGGCAGATGGGTCAAGGACCTCCCAAGATTTGCAGTCAATTCACAGTCAAACCTGCCAACGGAGATCAATTGTAGGCGGATGCTGGCTGTATAATACCGTATATGTTGCTGCATGTTGCTGCTTTTGCTCCTTTTGCTGTAGACCTATGTGCAGCCCAGACTGGGAAGCCACACAGCCATACCTTTTGAAATCTTTTGAATCATCTTAGTCGTTTTCAAATGCAGACTGCCTTTGTTGCAGAACTCATGGCCCAGACGGCTTCGAGTAGTGCAACGGGTTCCTTGCACGCAAGACAGAAACTTCACGCTCTTTCATGAATTTGCCCGACTATCGATTGTTTGTGCATGTTGGTGCCATGGTGTGCCAATTGAGTATCTTCTTAATGGTAGCGGGTCAACTTCCCATTTGGTCAAGATTGGAATCCACTTTCAACCATTCTCAGCCCCTGAGCGCGCACAAGGTCCTAGCAAAGAGCGGCTTGGCGTCATCAGATTTCTGGTATCCTGATGTATTCTGTACGGGTGTTTTGCTGCCGTGCAACTTGGATAAGTACTCTTTTTTTGGTGTTATTTAGCAATGATTTAGCATTAGTGCACACACACACATATATATATATATTCATATAATATACGAATTACTATCCTGTGCTTGCTCAAACAATCATCAAATTCTCATCTATGTCAATCTATGTCATCTTATTGAAAGTCTTCATAGTCTTCCAAGATTGCAAACAGAATCTCGAGGCCAGGGCCACCAGGGCCACCATGGCCACTCGAGACCCCTGGCATTAGCCTGGGTGAGCGTTTGCGGCGCTCGAATGCGGGGCTCTGAAGAAGGATCAAGAACAGAGGCTTTTTTTTTATGGAGTTAAAATTTGAATCCCAAGTTCTGATCAAATAGGATTATTTACGGTTATTTAATTCAGAACAGGATGATCAACATTGATCAACCACGGGCATGTGGGGTCAAACTTGTTGACCCCAAAAACGATTGTTGGGCTGAATGATGAGCATTTCCAATTTGGAGGGTCCATTAAAGGCTTTTTCTTGAGCGATACCCTAGTTTTGATGTTTCGCACGGTTTTTGATGGAAACGGACGGGGAAGTGCATTCCGAGGCGGAGTCCAGGCGTGGTGATTCTGGTAATCTCCTGCGAGCGGGGCATCCCAACACTGGCTGACCTGGCTGCAGACCTGCGAAGCGACCCCGACAGATTCTGATCCTGGCTGAGGCCCGTCTTCACTTCTGAGATTCGACAGCCACTATCCGGCAGCCGGAGAAGAAGTTGCTCCTGGGCTGTGCGGCATGAGACGTCGCGATGGAAACAAGGGAGCGTCATTTGAGCTTTCCGCCTCAAGTATGGCAGGCGGATGGAATGGAATGCAGTATGCTATTGTCTTGCCGTTCCATTTTGCATCTTAGCTATTCGAATTATTCAATGCTTCTATGGCCCTTTCTCCTTTCGGACAGTCTTTTTGCAAATACAAGTCAGATAAGTCAGCAAGAACGTACCAGAATCGCAGCAGTCAACCTGTCAACAACCATAACTTGGTAGAATCGATGAAAATGGGTTCTTTCAACATCTTCCAACCTTTGCAACCCGCCCAGCTCACAAGTGGACGCATGAAGACGTGGGTAGCCACGTGTGCCAACACTGGTCGACATGCGGAGCCTGAAGCTATGGCGCCCTAAAGCTGCGTCCCGCAGCTTCGCCGTCCTGTCCCATTCGTGGACAGGCAAAAAACGGAGTGCAGTGTGAAGAATTGTGAAGTGAAATTCTGAAATGACATGGAAATGACATGAAGATGGATCAGCAATGGATGAGCAATAGATTCTATAGATCAGCAAACCACACACCATCAAAAAAAACATCCGTTCGTGCCAATCACTGCTGGGTTGAAGTCCCAGTTACAGACAGGCGGTCAGCGACCAACAGAGGCGAGCCAGAAAGTGTGTGCCCTGCCCTTAGAAGATCCCAGGAGATCAAATAGGATGCACTTGCCACTTTAATAGATCACAATTTCAGCGGAACATTGCCACATATTGCCACTGAGAAAGCTTTGGAGAAAGCTCTGGAGAAAGCTGGGACTTGGTGAAAAATGTTGAAAAATGTTGTTTCACGAGATTCCGTCGATTCCGTGAGGTGATGATGCATGGAATTCTTGGATCAAAGTCGATGCTCGGCGGATCTCGGACGCTTCGATGCTTCGATGTGCCCAGATTCCCGCGGCTGAGGAATTGGAACACCCCATCACGCCAGCTGTTGAAAACAATTGGCCCCCAGGCAAGGTCTGAATATGTCTCAAAATATGTCTGAATCCATCTGAATCCCTAAGGCTTTCTAACACATACTAAGATCTATCATGATCTATCTAAGATTTATCTAAGATTTATCTATAAGTTAATGCATGTTAATGTCTCAATGCTGACATGGATTGTGGGTGACCCGATCATGTCCAGGGGTGGCGCATCTTACAGCTGGACCATCGTGCCCATGGAAGATCTCCCACAGGTCTGGTACCTGGACATTCCACTGAAAAAAACAATCTGGGTTTGTCTCAAAATGGTCGATACGGCAGTTTGAAATACCACCAAAGGGCAGTTTCAATGCGGAAAACGATGAACAACTGCTTGTCCAGGGGACGAAATGGATTCCGAACTTGAGACAACCCCAGATCCAACAATGATCTGTGAACTGTGAGACAGCAGTGGTGCTTCCTTTACTCTCCAAAGCCCTTGGCCAAGGGGCAAGTGACTTAGGTTCTTCTCCACATAATTTGGAATCCTGTGCAGAAGATGTGTTGGAAACGTTGCTTGGCTTTTTTTCCAAAAGATGCTTGTAACAGCAAGGTGTATGTTGGTTTTGGCCACCATCAAGTTCCATTTTGACTTTGATCCAAGCTTGCCGCGTGTACTCGTGATTCCACTAAGGCTCGTACATGCTGGAGTGCCAGATTCCGCAGAGCTTGTGGTTTGTGGCCATTCCTTTGGCGGCAAAGTTGCATTGGTCATGGGCTCAAGTGGGCTTCAAATGCCTCGATTGGTTTATTCAAACATTCAGCCTACCCAAAAAGCTTTCTGTTGATCAGATCATTTCCCAATGAAGATTGCATTTTTTTTTTGGTATCATCAATTTCATTCCGAGGAACCCACATGGAATGCTGCCTAAATGTTGCTGTTTGCACTTGATGGCGGCGGCCGTAAACGAGGCAGTCTTGGAGACCTTGCGAAAACAAGGACGTCCACCCAGAAAGACTTGGACCTTTGACTCGGTTCCAGGCGAGGTTCCTGGCGAGAGGTGTCAGAGCTCTGGTTGCCAGGATTTGCCAGGCCTGTGTGAAACATTTTGAAACCTATAAAGCCTATAATAGTATTACTCTAACTTGTTGATGGTTGTTGATGGTTGTTGATGGTTGTTGATGGTTGTTGATGGTTGTTGATGGTTGTTGATGGTTGTTGATGGTTGTTGATGGTTGTTGATGGTTGTTGATGGTTGTCCCATACTGACGCTTGTCCATGTGTCAATATTATCAGATTATTATCAGATTCATCCCAAGATGCCTCCTTGCATTTCCCTGCGCTCGGTGATTTTGTCCAGGTTGCCCTGCAGCAATCCCAGCAGAGGACGGGCCTTGCTGTGACCAAGTTGCACAGCTGGGCAGAACTTCTCGCAGGATGAACGGCGACAGCAGAGCGTAGGTTTCGTCTTGGAGGTGGTCAAAGCAATTGCTGGCAAGAGATTTGACGAGCGTTCAGCAGCTTGATTGAAAATCACAAGGCAAACTGACAAAAATTGCACTAGCTTGCCACGTGCTTCCTGTGGTAACCAAGGAACTTGTAAGCAGTTTGCAAGACCACGGCTTGAGCCAGCCACTAGCAGAATGGATTGCAGCTTGGCTGAAGCATGCCGGAGTCCAGATATAGTCCAGATGTGAAACTTGTCCCTTGCTGAAACATCCTGAGGCACAATCTGTCCGATCCACTGCGATCCAGCCTCAGCTTTAGCGACTTGAGCGACTTCGATCGGCTTTGCTGAGTGGAGCCCAGGGACGGAGTGGAGTTGAGCTACGATATCGAAATTGTGGGTGCAGGGCTGAAATCGCAGTAACAGGATGCTATATGAGCATATATCTGAGGATTATTGAGGATTACATTTACTTTGTTTTTTTTTTGTTTCGTTTGTTTTTCAGTCTTCCATGATGTTACGCACCTGTCGAGTATCAGGTGAACTCTATCAGGCTTACTTGGCCAAGGACATGTGGCATCTTTTCGACAGCTCCTCTGCAGCTCGGCTGGTGAACAGCCTGGTGGGCCCTGTTTTCACTTGGACACTATTGGGTGGATGCGACATTGAACAACCACATGATACTCTATATATATATGTATGTATGATTCAATGTTGGATTGTCCCCCCAGGTTGACACCAGCACCTCGCAAAGGTCACACCATCACCAAACATCAGTGAACATCAGTGTCATTGCAGCTGCAATGAGCCAAGCTGAGGAAATTGGGGTCATAGTCGCTGGGAAGAACAGGCAGGTCAGAAATGGTCCAAATGGTCCAAATGGTCCGAACTCGGGGTATCTCTGTGTAGCTGGAAGCATCTGCGAAGCGGAGCTAAGTGAAGCCACGGCCTGGCTAGGCACGCCTGGGGCACTAAGAACCTGCAACAACTCCAGCGTCGCCACGAGGACACGATTCACTGTCGCTGATGGGGATTTGATGTGATTTGCTGAGAACGCCACCATCGCATAATTTGCAGAATTTTTGTTCACTTGGGTGATTTCATGCGATTTCGGGGGACACTCATTAAAAGACTCTGGGATTCGCATATGTCCCATCATATTCCTACATCACTTTGCGCTGTTTGTGCCTCAGCACCGCAGGAGGGTCACGTGGAAATGGTCACTCTGAAGTCTGCAGGGCACAATGTCCATGTGGATGACCTTCCAGGTGAGGCAGAGTAGGACTCAGGACCCAAGATGATCCAAGACAAAGTGTCAGTGATATCAGTGACATCAGTGATATCGGTGATGGGATGTGCTGAGAAGATATCTGATGCAGTCGCTGCTACCATGACTATCATTTTTCCAGGGCGCATAGTGTCTTTGATGCACAGAATGATCCAAAGCATGTTTGTGTGCATATCTTGTCGTAGATGGTAGAGATGTGACAAATATAAACCTTACGCACAGGCACAGCACTGATGCATGTATTGTTTACATCTACATGAATGTGAGCGTGCGCGTGTGGAGAGTGCATATATTTTCTTTTTTGGGGGGGTCCAGCCACAAAGCGCAACTGGGCCTGCGGAATGCCGCAGAAACCTGCGAGGCTTGTTGAAAGCGATCCAGCCCAGCTTCAGCTGAGTGCGAATCGATTGCAAAAAAGGGAGCCGCCGCATTGCGATGGTGAGAAATTTGATGGACATCCATGAAAATCATTGGGTGCTCCAGCTTGATTTAAAATTTAGGTCTCACGCCCTTTTAGGCCGACCCTTGAATCGACCTCAGCAACGCCCAAATCAATTCAGCAATTCAAATACAGAGAGCCTCCGCGTCAGCGCTGCGTTCTGCATCGCAGTGCAAGAGTAAGCGGTGTTCATTCAAGGAAACAACAAACAACCGACCGGATTTTCTCGAGCTTTTCAAAATTGGAGAAATTTGGAGCCCCAAATTTTCAAACCTCCATGGTACCGATTTGCAAGGCCAGCTCCGATCAGCTCTGGAGCCTTGCGCCTGAAAGTGCGAGGTCCAAGGCCAAAAGGGCCTCAGGAAAACTCGTAGGCCCTGCGGTATGTCACTCCACGTGCAGGCTGGATCCGAAATGGGCAGATTTGGACTTAGAAATCTTAGAATTTGCGATTTCACCTTGACCCTTGAAAGACAACTGCCTGTCGTTTCCTGCCATTTGATTTCCTTTGCTCAAAGGAAATAGGATTGGCAACAAAAAGTTGCCCTTCGGGCACCCTGAACTCTTACCTTCGACGTGAGAGAATCGTGGCGCCTGATGTCAAAGTCATCCTCACTGAGGGACGCCGATGACCAGCAGGTCATGGACAGCCAGTGATTTGGTGCCTGGAAGATCCTGGAAGTCATGCTGATTTGATCCTCACAGCACAGCCTGCAGGTTTTGGTCCTGACATGTCCTGACCTAGTGTCGATGCGCCCACAGCAATGCAGGTGGATGATCCCATGAATATTCGATGTGTTCGATGCTGACGATGCAAGCGGCCTCGACAGGTCATGACACCGCCGCGGTGAGCTGAGCTTGGAAATCAGCTTCCGGACCGCTGGATGCCTGGGTGACAACTTGAGTGCTGAATGTCCTTGCACGGTGCTGGTTCCAGCAATGTGGCAGACAGAATGCTGGATTTTGCTGTTTTCCTTAGCTGAGGAGCGGATGCAGTTTATGAAGGGAGAACAGCCGGCTGAACCAAAAAAGATGGAACATGTTGGAACACAGCAGAAAATAGCTGAAAGGTCCGCAATTTGGCAAGGTTTCCGTCATCTCAGCACCTCGGATAATGACCGAGGAATACCGAAGATATTTTCTTGCACGGCCCTTTTGACACCACTCCTGCCAAGTTTTCAGCGCATCGGAAGGGGTACCGAGATGCTTTGGCATGTGTTTTTGCATCGTTTTTGTATGTTTTTGTATTGGGGCGATCCATGGTGTGGAGATGGCCAACGATGAGACCAAGTATTGGTGGAAGGCATCGTGCAAGTCTTATCTTCAAGCCGGATGGGCTCCTTCATGGACCTGCTAGCAAGATGTTGAGAACTGGCTTGGAGTTCTGGGACAGTCAGGACATGCAGCGTGCTTTGACAGAGACGGAGAAAAAGTGGGACAGCAACGTGAAGGAGTTCTCGGCCAAGCAGACGGAAAGCGCCAAGCGCTTCATTGCTGAGGTGTGGGCTGCTATCCGGGAGATCTTTCAGAAGCTCTGGCCATTTCCTCGTGATGCTCAGCCGATGACCAAGGACGAGGAGGTAGACTTCGATCGCTCTGGACAATCTGCATGGGCCCGTCAGGCTGAGGCATCCTCCGGCCCTGGAGACATAACTACTACAGTCACCAAGGTGCTTTCAACATTTTCAATCGTGCCATGCATCTTGGGCGCGCTCAGATTCACGTCTTGCTCCTCGGCAGGCCCCGTCGCTTGGCCCGGCTGGTGAGTTGGCAAAATTGCTTTGGCTCTTGAATACCTTGAATGCCAGGATACAAGGAAGCGATTCAAAACTTGGAGGAAACAAAACAACAGTTTTACAGCAGCTTTGTGAATGCCCTGGCGAGCTGCGAGATGATGCGAAGCATCCTGCAGAGCGGCCTGGCGAGTCGCAAGGGTCAATGCAGCGCTCCGAAGGATGGGTCAAAAATCTGGTCGGCGGCGTCGGCGGTGGTCCTCTATGACCGCTTCTTCCAGACAACCGCATGAGGTGGACGAAAAACAACGAGAGCGCTACTGTTTCTGATCTTTCCAGCAGGAACAACTTCAAATAATTTAAAGCTTGGCAAGTCCATGTTAATGTTATCATTTTGATATATCTTGCTTATCTTGCTAAATTTTGGTTTAGTCCTCCCACACTTTCCTCCGAAGAATTGCATTGTAAACTGTAAACTGTAAACACGCAATGCCGCAATCATCTTGGCATGCCGCAACCTTCGCAGCAGGATTTGGTCGGTGCCACATGGACAGTTGAGATGGAAGGCTCCGGCACCGCCCGCCAGCTTTTGAAGTTGTCGTGGATAGCCGCAGCATGCTGCAGCTAGATCTCCGTCCCCAGGACCTGTGAGATGTCTTGAGCGGATTATTTTAGATTGCCAAGATGATCATGCAAGGTTTGAAGACTGTCCACGATCTTAAGAAAGTCTTGGACTCTTGTTTGCAACATGTGCTTGATTACCTTTGTATAAATCCAGTTGGTCGTATCCTTGGGCCTTTGCAATTTCTTTAATTTTGCCCTGGCACTGGATTGAAAGATATTGAAAGTATGCTGGTGTTGGTTTGGCACCAGCTGTCGATAGCTGTCGCCAAGATCGCCAAGTGCCGATCCAAGGAACAGGTGGTGGTCGACATGCCCATCGAGCAGCAAAGACTTATCCTCATACGAAGCGACCAGAGGTACCAGTCCACGAGTCGCCCTCGCCACATGTCGCCTAGTTAGAGGATGGTAAAGGAACTATAAAGAACTTGTACTTTGCAACATTTTACAATTAGTGCAAAGTTTGATGTGGCTCATGTTGAAGATATTTTGTTTTCTCTAAATATGAGGCTGTTAGATTCCGGTCTCATCCTGTCCTTATTATCGTCCATGATATTGGGATTTCAACCTCACTTTCTTGTCATTAAGAGTGTATGATCGGTATAGCCCGTCGTGGCAATGTCCGTGTCAGCATCATGTTCTGCTGGGCAAATATCCGATGGCTTGCAGGTTGCAGCCAGATACTGCACAGCTCTCGGATTTTGGGGTGCAAGCAGGTGATCAGATAGCTGCTTGGAAGCAGCTCCAAACCATGCAAAGCCATTGCGGGAACAGTTTTTGGCCCGATGTGCCCGATGAATCGATGATATAGATAAATAAATTAGAGACTCATTACAGTACATCACACACATACACACGGAAATATAATATATTATAATATATCCCTGCAAGTCAGAAGGTCAAGTTTTACGAGGTCTTTTGCAAAAGACCAAGTTTTACGAGGTCCTCTGGTTTACTTGGTTTTATAGAGCTCAGCCCTTTTCCCCATCAATGCTGAATTTGACTTGAACCCCATTTGAAACTGTTGATGCATGATTGGGAAGCATTCAATCACCTACAGATCATAGCCCCGAATGGGCCTTTCCAAGTTGCAATGAACAGCCACTAAGGCTGACATTCCGGAGCATATGCAAAGCAAATTCGTGGCGTTTCCCCTCAAGAAATTATATGTTTGGCAGAAATTTCCACACTGAAAAAATGGTTCCTAGGGTTTCACGCTCGGTTCACGCTCGGTTCACGGTCATAGTTGGTCTTTTGCCAGTCATAGTTGGTCTTTTGCCGGTCATAGTTGGTCTTTTGCCGGTCATAGTTGGTCCGGTTCACGCTCGGTTCACGCTCGGTTCACGCTAGCGATTCTGGGCCCCTGATAATTCAGAAACCATACGTTTGTGGTGGTTCCAGCCCTAGACTCCCAATGATAAAATAGTGTGGGGTACCCTATGATAAACCGCAAATTGGATATTTGGTCGGTGAAGGGATGTGGCTATCCTGAAATTTAGGTCAACAATTATGGGTTTATGCATCTTATATATTACTGTTGGACATCCATGGCCATCATCTTAACTTTGGACCCAAAAGGTCCAAGTAATAGTAGGTCCTCATCAAGTAATAGTAGGTCCTTTTCAGTAAAGTTAAAAGGCCAAGTTTTACGAGGTCTTTGACCTGGAGGGTATGATATGTACTCCTGACACCTGATGTAATTGCAAGTTCCTTTTGTGGCCTATGGAGATTCTTTGGCCGCTGCCGCTGAGGAGCTTCAAGTTCTCTCCTGGACTGAAGCGCAAGGCTTGTGACCCCTCAGGAGACCGGGACCTCTGAGGTGAATCCAACGGAAAAGCAACGTCGCTGCGCCAGTTGCGATGCCGATGGAACTTGACATTTTGATGGATGCATTCTGCAAGTGTTTCTGCGACATGGAAGACACCGAGTGTTCGAGCTACCCTCTGCTGCTGTCGCACTCAAACTTTGCCAAATCTTTGTTTGATCCCAGATTGCAACATTGTGCATCCAGTGCAGCTCTCTTCTTTGAACTCTCCAGTCCAGTCATCAGTTTTGATTTCAAGCGCTGCTATGAGTAAGCAGGAAATCTCCAATCACAGTTCGTGAGCCCTTGCAGCATTTTTCGCAGCCATGGTGAAAAGGAAAAAGGCTGAGATGGACCTCTCTGATGGCACCACAGCAGAACAGCAATTGTTCATAATTGTTCAAAACTATTTTCAGATGGTGCAAAGAGCAGTTGATGGCAGTTGCGCATTGTGCCGTTGCATCACAAACATTTGAAGTTTTCTTTGCTTTCAAATCTTCAAACCTTCCAGACCTTTCAGGTATTCTGCGCCTGCGGTGCCCCAAACCACTAGCAATCAATCCATCTCTGGACTCATCTGAGCTCATTTCCAGGCCAAGTGGTTTTTTATCGTTTTTTTTTTGTTTCGGTTTGACTTATGGTCCTTATGGTCCTTATGGTCCTTATGGTCCTTATGGTCCTTATGGTCCTTATGGTCCTTATGGTCCTTATGGTCCTTATGGTCCTTATGGTCCTTATGGTTATTGTTTGGGACAAGCATGTTGTGGCAAGCTATGTCACCCGCACCGGAGATTGTTGGCTCCGATGAGCTTGGAAAGCTTCCTCTCCTCCTGCTGGGCAGAAAAGCCGCTTCTGGTGCCTTTGGCTGCGCAGTCTGACGCGGTCGTGATCTGTAAGATCTGTAAGATCTGTAATCTGTAAACGTTTTCAACCAATTTTTCATCCAACATGTTTTGAATAAACATGTCATGATATATGCACATATTAACACACACGCACACATACACGCTGTTGTTATATATATACATATATCTATATAATACATACAGTAACATATGTAGTATCTGTAGCATATATATATAATATATATATATATATGTGTGTGTGTGTTACTGTATACGCGTGTGTTTTTTATTCTCCTCCTTAGGTGACTTTAGTTTCTCTTGCCGTGTTATTCGCCTGAGTCACTGAGGTGCAGGGACCGCTCCAGCGCTTGGCACCCATCATTTCGCACATGAAGCAGTTGGATCTCCAGGAGATGTTGGAGGAGACCCCCAGTGAACAGGCAGAGATGGCAGATGGCAGAACTTTGCCCGAAATTTGATGTTTTGATTAACGTCAAAAGATGGCAGAGATGTTTTGTACTCTGATAAAAGTTAACTCTGATAAAAGTTATATTATATTTATATACATTTATTACATCGCAGTCAGGGGTCAGAGGTGCAAAGGCAGAAGAGTTTGTAGTATATAGATCTTTGTGACAGGTTCACGCGTGGCTCAGAAGTTGCTCAACCGCAGTGATCTCCGTGGTGTGGTGCAGATGCCGCAGTCCATCACGGTGTGTCATGGGCTGCCGGGGCGGTGCCGAGGTTCTACAACTGGCTCCAAAGATGAGCCAAGTGGAAGTGCGTCTTGGCCGAGTCGAGATGTGCTGCAAGAAGAAATCCGATCTCTCTCCCTCTCTCTCTCACTTGTCCTTGTACCAGAGAGTATGTGCAAAAACGAGTACACACACGGAGATAGGTGTAATACATACTAGATATAAAGGACCACTATTCAACACAAATTCATGCATGTGTCGATATGCACATACACATGTTTCAAAACACAGAAATTAAAATCATGAAGAACCAATCTTGTTCCTTGCCATCGCCCTGCCACACTCAGCTCTGACAGTTGAGGCCTTACAAAGTGTTGCGCTGGATGCCGCTGCTGCCTTAATGTTGGCACAGACGCGCCAAGCGGCTTTGTACTTCCGAGCACCTGAGGCCTTAGAGCACCTCAGCGATGTGGATGGACCATGATGGACCAATGTTGCACAAAAATTTCCAAACCGAGCAGTTTATCCAAAGCAGATATGCGGCCTGTGTATCTCTGTGTATCTTTGTGTATCTTTGTGTATCTTTGTGCAGCAATTGCGGATTGATTGGTGGCACGGCCCAGCTGAGGGATTTGCTGGTGCCGGGCATTTGCAACGGCTTGGGAGCTGCTTTTGCAGGTTTGTACCCAGGTGGGCTGCACCTTTGATGCCTTGTTGGTTTTTGTATGCCTTTGTCATGTAGTGATGAGTTTCAAGGGAGGTTGAATCAGTCTGGCTCTGCTGGTGGAATACTGCCTTTTGTTCATTGTCGTTATGAAGTGTCATAGAATGTGACACCTATGTTAGTGCGAGTTGGTGCCATCTGACCAGATGGACAGGGGACAGTCGACCCAGAGGAGAGATTGAAACCTTTGTGGCCCAAAGTGGCCATGTCACAGGCACGAATGGCCTTGCATTCAACCTTGGTGAGCTCTCAGCACATGTTACTGAATGCATCAGGGTGCATTGTTTTGCCATTTTTGGCCCTGGCCATAAACTGCACCGGCCATTCGCTACTTTTTATTTACGACTTTTTGATGTCAGGTTGGCACACAGACTTTCAGCACAACTTCACCTTCCAGTTGAGGCCAGGAGAGAGCTGGGGAAGATCGGGGAAGGCCCTTCGCCAATGCCACGTGTGCTCGGAAGGGGCTCAAAGCGGTGGCGCTTCAAGAAGGGACCGGTGAAGAACAACGTGCGTGCCTTGACGCCACATTTTCAGCTCGGCCCTCAAATCCGTTGGGTCTAGGCAGTCAAGGCAGTCACGGCATTGCGGCATGGCCACTTTGATGTCCTGCGTGACCGGGAAATTGTGAAGACCAACTGCTTTGAAATGTTGCGAAACAAGGACCAAGGCTAACTTTGAGCAGCAGATGAAACTTCACGTTATCAGCGACTCTTGGCTGCAATTTCTGTGTTTAGATGACGCGAAGTATAAAGATACGAAGTTGCCGGCAAATCTGCAAAGAACCAACATGATCGCATGTCATTGATAAGACTTGGCAAAAATTTGACCGCTTGGTGGCTTGGTGAGATCAGGAGCCTTCAAGGCCTGAGTTCAAGCCACCAGATCACTTCTTTGCCGATGCAGATGTGGTGGATGTCACTGCGGGTGATATCCTCTATCACCCTGCTGGCATTTGGCACCATGTCGAGTGCACTGGGGAGCCCTGGCAGTGAGCAGAGCATGCCGCGTCTTTCATGGTCCGGAGATGTCCGGAGTTTGACGTGCATTTTTCTGCAAAGGAAATTGAGAGCATCTCCATCAATGTCTCCGTCTCATGTGCTACTTGGGCAGACCTGGCAGCCCGGCAAGCAAAGGGTTCTCCATCGGCCCTTTTCTTGTTGCGCTTCACAGGTTGTGAAATGGTCGTGAAATGATGTGAATACGTACCACAGGCATCCATAGCTGTTCCTTCAGACACTTTGCGCATTCAGTCGCATTCATGCGCATTCAACTGTAGCCTAGTTGAATTGCCTGGTGCACTGCACTTGACCTGTCACCATGCACCATAGCTGTACGTAGTACTAGGCACGAACAACCTAGCGGACCTCTTACCAGCCCACGATTTTATTGAAAGTACCGCCTTGTCATGCCTTTGGCATTTGAAAACATCAGAAAAAATCACAAGACGCTGCGTTTATGTTTCAAACATTTTCAAACCACTGCATGTTTTTTATTCTCCCTCCGTGCTGGAGTCATGCCAGGCCTTTGCTAGGGGATCTTCTCACCAGCGAACTTTGCAACATTTTGCAACACCTTGCAACACTGTTTCAAGCATGCGCACAGCATGCGCACTAGGAGTGATTGCAAGCGGAAGTGCGGCGTCCATGCAGAGCACTGACAAAGACACAAGCGCTCTCCCCTTGATGGCTACCTAACTCATCCATAACTTGTAAGACGCAGAAACTTTCTGTTATAGAACGATTGACAAATGCAATGCCGCAAGGTTGATACTGCATAAACAAGCATAAACACATCATGCCACAGGATTCGGCAATATTCGGCAGTGTGTGTGCTGGACGAGCTTGCAAAGGTTTTGGCTATTCACACAAAATATATATAAAAATATCATAAGTCATGAACATTCATCAACGGTCATAGCATGTCGCTGTAGCATGTCTCGGGACCATAGAGGTCATAGAGTGAGCTGTCAGTCCGTCAACTCAGCTCCGTCAACTCCTGAGATCATCCGAGATCCAAGGTGAGCGACGCCATACATCAATCCCTTTGGAGCTCAGCATCTCTTCGTGCACCAATCGTTGGCCTCACTGTCGACTATGCTGCTGCTGTGCGTCAGGTGCGGCTTGGTGGGATGTGTGGTGGGATGTGCTAGGTCTGCTAGGTCTGCAGCTTTCAGATCGTTTTTTGGTTTTTGGGACGTTTTGGGAAACTCAAAGTGATACTCGAGATGATCTCCTGGATCTTCAGAAAGCTAAACTGTTAAACATTCTTCAACTAGTTTTACATAGGAAGCTAAAACTAGAAAGCTAAAACTAAAACTAGAAAGCTAAAACTAGTTTCAGATGTGTCAGTTTTACATAGTTTTACCCTTGCCGCATGTCTAGGATTGTCTAGGACTCCATGATGCTCCATGTTGTGACGGTGCTCCAGGTGGAAGAGCGGTTGCGAGAGGCCAAGAAGTGGATCAACTCGTTGACGGCCGAGGACTTGCTGTCGCCAGCCATGCTGGAAATGCCAAGGCAATGGACCCAGAGACCGACAGAGACCGACAGAGACCGACAGAGACCGAGATTCGAATGACGCACCCGTCAGCTCCGCTGCAAACAACGCAAACAACGGGTCGCCGTGGTTGAGACTTTCGTATTTCATCTCATTCACATTCATTCACATTCATTCACTTATCTTTCGATGACTGGTAAACATGGTAAACGTTTAATAACGTTTATATGCGTAAGGATTGGGCATATATCGCAATATATCGCAATCTCCAGCATGTTCAGTTATATAATGATACGTCAAGACATTTGACGATTGCCCAAGCAGAATGTGGAGACTTGGATGCTGAGGTTGCCGTCCCGAATCCACATCGGTCGCTCACGTTTGGGGCATCAGCTTCAGGTGTCGCAACTTGGACCTTTGTTTTGAGGAATGATGAGAAATGCAACGAATCTCCGATTTGCAGAATGGAACTCCGTTAGAATTCCACATGGCCCGCATAGCCTCCAAATCATTCCAATTCATTGAATTCATTGGTTTGTTTTTTCTTGCCTTTGGGCAAGACGTTGGAACAGATCTGGGGTGCCATGGTTCCATCTTTATCTTTTTTGATGAATCAGTTATTGATAGTTTTTGAATACTGGGAATATGGTGGGGACGGTGGGGAGGATGTGGCCAAGCGCTTTGAGGCAGAGCAGCTGCTTTCGTTTCTCCCAGCTGTGCGCATTGGTTGAGCTACCAGAGGATCTTTCCGATTCAGAAGAGGCACCCAACCTCTGAGAACATTGCAATGTTGACACATTGCTTGGTTAGGGGTGGTTCACCCAGAATGTATGGACTCTGTATGGAAATGTCAATGTATGTCAATGTACAGGTTTTATTTTTGTAGATGCCTCACAGCAAAGTTGCATTGTTTTGCGAGGGAGATTGTGCATGCGCAATGAGGAGCTTCCTCAGAGCTCAAAGCGTTTCGTGCTTCATGCGAACTTTGGCAACGAGGTGAGGCTGCAACGACAATTCAGCACAGATGGAGTATGGAATGGTATTGAATGCTTGGATTGAGTTGGATTGTCCCAGTCTTCACTCTTCCCATGATTGGGAGGCGTGTTCCTCCGGACCATAACTTGCCTGTAGTTTAACCTTCACGACGCGGAGGGTTAGACGGCGCTGGATCAGGACGTGTCATCTTGGCTGCGGGTGCTGCTGGTCGCGCCCAAAAACCTGCTTCTGGCCATGTCATGGCTACAAACGCGGCAGCTGAGCAAAAGCCAGGGTGCCAAGTGGTTGCTAGCGCCCTTGGAAATGCACGTCGTTACAACATCATTACATATAATTGTCATATAGTTAAATATGTGTCTACATATATATATATAATACAATAATGCATGCATATAGACATATAGATCATATAGCTTGTAGCTGATCACAAGTAATTAGTCACACGCTGACAAGTGGAGTCGACAAACTGGAGTCTGAAGATTTCTGGAGTACGGATTAGTCACAAGTGTAGTTTCCAACACGATGCCACGAACTGGTCAGCTGGCCAAAGGGATCAGCCCATTCTGCCAACTGCCAACTTTGACCGAGGATCCACCAAGAAATTCAAGGCGAAGGAGTGCCATTGTGAAAATTCACCCATTGTCATGACATGACTTGCCTAGGATCTGACTTTGGAAGCATGTTACTCCTGACTTTGGAAGCTGACAGAGACATGTGACATGTGCATCTAACGGACCACAGCAGGACCATATCTGCCCATGCATTGCCATCGAGCATATTGAGCCTGTTCAAGACAAGTTTCAAGACATTGTGACATCATGTGACATCATGTGATGTCAACGGGAGAGGAGGTGCTGACAGCATCGAAGACCAGCTGGTCCAACGTATGCAGGTGGCTTCGGCTTCAGCTTGATCTTGATATACTGATATATACTGTATTTCGAGATATCTCGATATATCTCGATATCAGGTTGATCTGAGGCTGTAAGATCAGGACGGCGCCAAGGTGGTGATGCTCTCCCCGTCTCATCTCCAAACATTGTGAGCAGATGCAGATCTCTCAAAATTGATCAAACGTATCAAACCATACCAAGTGTCAGAGCAAGGCTTGCCCAAAAAGGATCAAAGAATATCAAAGATAAAAGTTCCACTCTATTGAACTCTATTGGTCCTGATGCAGGCTGCTCAGAGTGCCCGGCTCAGTCTGATTCAGGCCGTTTTGTTTACATATACTAGTAGCTTGTTCGAATACGAGGGTCCTTCCGACCTCATAACTTTGTGTTGTGGGAGAGCGATACGCATTGCGCAGTGAGCATCCCGACAGAATCGACCAACCCTGATCTACTTCAATTCGTAGCTTCATATAGCTTCCAGATAGCTTTCCAGATCTCCAGGTGCTTCAATATTGTGGCCTTGTGCTCCAGTGCTGACATCGTGCATTGATTAAAAAAAAAACGCGTGCTGCCATCCGATCATGCGCTCCGATCACAGCACCGGCAGACTTCGGCATACTCCAGCATTCTAGGAATGCTGTGAAACATGATGAAACATGGAATACCATGGAATACCATGGAATACCATGGAATGATTGAAACAGGGCCTGGGATTTTTGTGACATGGAAACGCCGCTCGCGTTTAGGGTCAGCCAGGGGAGGGGCTCGGTTCCGGAGTTTGGGATCGGGATCCCTCTGCTGGAACCATGGGGTTGGAACCTTAGGATCGCAGATCAGATCTGTCAGATCTCATAGGTTTTGGAAGATTTGGAAGTGGAGTTGAGGCACGGATTGGGAAGAATACTCAATTTCTAGGACCCGTGTGTCAACACCAGTATAACCCCAGTTTCATCAGACTCTTTGCCACTTTCGCAGAACTTCATATGCAACTCTATGTGTTGAGTATTGGGACACTATGACATTTTATAATATTTTAGCATTTTTTTTAAGCCATGACATTATATATGACATAATATATATATATAATTATAACTATATAACATGTTATATATATATTTAGCCATTTTTGTAATGAACATGTGGCGGATGTGTTAAGCCGCAACTGCCATTGGATGCTGAGGTCTGGGGGTTCCACTGATGCGAAGAAAAAATCCGCAGCCAGCCGGGCCTCAGCGGGTACACAATACTCTCTGATTGCGCCGTATTACGAGTAATGAGATATCAATATAATGTACACACACATATATATATATAACAAATTTATTTAATGAGATAGTGCTGCTTATTTAATGAGATAGTGCTGCTTAAGATGTCGCAACATTCATTGCGGTCTTGCCAAGAAGGCTTTTCGTTGTCATATATTGTCATGCTGAATGCTGACAATAGTTTTTGTGACTATGTGACTTTTCATTGTCTAGTGGATTTGGATGTTGATACATTCTTGATCCAGTCTCTGTTGGAGATGTCTTATTTGAGTCTATCCTCTGGAACACCGTGCTGAGGTGAGGAGAAATACAAACCCGAGGACACTGCCGGCACAGAAAGCATGGAGGTTGCTGCAATGAGCGCCAAGCCGAGGCGATTAAAGAAGGCAGGAAACTGAATCTGAATCCACAGCAATGTTCAGCAACCATAGGCTTACAGCGCTTACAGTACCATTACAGTACCTCTGTACAATTCTGTACACATACGCTCTACGGGCCGTTCACGGCTGTTCCATAGTGTCTTGGTTCATTTACTTCTATCTACTGCACTATACCGCTCACTACTTCTCGTGTCGTTTCATTGCGCAGGAGGGTCTAAGTCACTGGTCAGATCGGGACAGTCAAGACACATAATTAGATTGATATGTTGCACCCCTGCAGGCAGCCACACGTGCAAGACTGGAGGTCAGCTCTGCTTCAAGGCTTCAGGTCTTGCATTGGTTGATTATGGTTTTTAGCAAGGTCGGGCTACGTTGTCAAGATTTGTCAAGAATGACGAAGAATGGGCATTGCAAAGTAACGACACCGAACTTCCTTTCTGCCAGGAGCGGTCCACTTCGCCCCGCTTCGCCCTCAAGATGCAGGACATGCATACCTTCCTACCCTATCTATACCTACCAACCTATCTATCTATCTAATCTACTCTACTCTACTCTACTCTACTCTAATCTAATCTAATCTAATCTAATCTAATCTAATCTAATCTCTCTCTATCTCTCTCTCTATCTCTCTCTATCTCTCTCTATCTCTCTCTCTATCTCTCTCTATCTCTATCTATCTCTATCTATCTCTATCTATCTCTATCTATCTCTATCTATCTCTATCTATCTCTATCTATCTCTATCTATCTCTATCTATCTCTATCTATCTCGATCTATCCTATCTATCCTATCTATCCTATCAATCCTATCTATCTTATCTATCTCTATCTATCTCTATCTATCTCTATCTATCTCTATCTATCTCTATCTATCTCTATCTATCTCTATCTATCTCTATATCTATCTCTATGTCTATCTCTGTATCTATCTCTATATCTATCTCTCTATCTATCTCTATCTATCTCTATCTATCTCTATCTATCTCTATCTATCTCTATCTATCCTATCTATCCTATCTATCCTATCAATCCTATCTATCTTATCTATCTCTATCTATCTCTATCTATCTCTATCTATCTCTATCTATCTATCTCTATCTATCTATCTCTATCTATCTATCTCTATCTATCTATCTCTATCTATCTATCTATCTCTATCTATCTATCTATCTATCTATCTATCTCTATCTATCTCTATCTATCTCTATCTATCTCTATCTATCTCTATCTATCTCTATCTATCTCTATCTATCTCTATCTATCTCTATCTATCTCTATCTATCTCTATCTATCTCTTTCTATCTCTATCATCTCTATCTATCTCTATCATCTCTATCTATCTCTATCTATCTCTATCTATCCCTATCTATCTCTATCTATCTCTATCTATCTCTATCTATCTCTATCTATCTCTATCTATCTCTATCTATCTCTATCTATCTCTATCTATCTCTATCGATCTCTATCTATCTCTATCTATCTCTATCTATCTCTATCTATCTCTATCTATCTCTATCTATCTCTATCTATCTCTATCTATCTCTATCTATCTCTATCTATCTCTATCTATCCTATCTATCCTATCCTCTAGCCTCTCTACTATTCTGATCTAATCCTCTCTCTCTATCTAATCCTCTCGCTATCCTCTTCTATCTCTATCTATCTCTACTCTATCTAATCCTCTAATTATCCTATCTATCCTATCTATCCTATCAATCCTATCTATCTTATCTATCTCTATCTATCTCTATCTATCTCTATCTATCTCTATCTATCTCTATCTATCTCTATCTATATCTATCTATCTCTGTATCTATCTCTATATCTATCTCTATATCTATCTCTATCTATCTCTATCTATCTCTATCTATCTCTATCTATCTCTATCTATCTCTATCTATCTCTATCTATCTCTATCTATCTCTATCTATCTCTATCTATCTCTATCTATCCTATCTATCTCTATCTATCTCTATCTATCTCTACTATCTCTATCTATCTCTACTATCTCTATCTATCTCTATCCATCTATCTCTATCCATCTATCTCTATCCATCTATCTCTATCTATCTCTATCTATCTCTATCTATCTCTATCTATCTGTATCTATCTATCTATCTATCTATCTTTATCTATCTATCTATCTATCTATCTCTATCTCTATCTATTTATCTATCTATCTCTATCTATCTATCTATCTATCCTATCTATCTATCTATCCTATCTATTTATCTATCTATCTATCCTATCTATCCTATCTATCCTATCTATCCTATCTATCCTATCTATCCTATCTATCCTATCTATCCTATCTATCCTATCTATCTATCTATCTACCTATCTATCTATCTATCTATCTTCCTATCTATCCTATCTATCCTATCTATCCTATCTATCCTATCTATCCTATCTATCCTATCTATCCTATCTATCCTATCTATCCTATCTATCCTATCTACCCTATCTATCCTATCTATCCTATCTATCCTATCTATCCTATCTATCCTATCTATCCTATCTATCCTATCTATCCTATCTATCCTATCTATCCATCTATCCTATCTATCCTATCTATCCTATCTATCCTATCTATCCTATCTATCCTATCTATCCTATCTATCCTATCTATCCTATCTATCCTAGCTATCCTAGCTATCCTAGCTATCCTATCTATCCTATCTATCCTATCTATCCTATCTATCCTATCTATCCTATCTATCCTATCTATCCTATCTATCTATCTATCTACCTTATCTATCCTATCTATCCTATCTATCCTATCTATCCTATCTATCCTATCTATCCTATCTATCCTATCTATCCTATCTATCCTGTTCATCCTGTCTATCCTGTCTATCCTGTCTATCCTATCGATCCTATCGATCCTATCGATGCTATCGATCCTATCGATCCTATCGATCCTATCGATCCTATCGATCCTATCGATCCTATCGATCCTATCGATCCTATCGATCCTATCGATCCTATCTATCCTGTCTATCCTATCTATCTATCCTATCTTATCCTCTCCTCTCCTCTCCTCTCCTCTCTTGTCCTCTCCTATCCTATCCTATCCTATCCTATCCTATCCTATCCATCTCTATCTCTATCTCTATCTCTATCTCTATCTATCCATCTATCTATCTATGTACGTACATATCTATTTACATTTTATATCATTATTTAACTACAATATACATTCTTACCTGCATATGCTCATCCACATCACGCTCTCCCCCACTCCCCGCGCGCTCTCTCTCTCTCTCTCTGCATATATGTGCACATCAAGCTGATTTGATCTTTACCTCTGGCGGTCTAGGACATTCCTCAGCCCTCCTGGATGGACAATATAAAGTCGTTGCATGAAATTGATACCTGTTTGCAAGGGATTTCAAGGCCATACTTGGCATACTTGCCTGTTGATCTTGAAGAATTTTCGTGTGTAAGGATGTTTCGAAACATACTGTGCATATACTATCATACACAATCATTATACATTCATATATGGCTCATATAACTCACATGATTCATATTTCTGTGACATGTGTCGTGCCTTCATCGCACCGAGGTCCACCAGATACACCAGCAGAAGCAGTCACCCCTACAACAGAGGCCCACCAGCAGATCCTTGACGTCGAACACGACAACATACGATTAAGATACGACAACACTCATTTTCAAACCCGACCTTCCAACAGTGTAACAGTCCGCAGGGAGGGTAAAGATGGGTAAAGTCAAACATAGTTAAACAGTTTTGGGCCGGGGATGTCTCCAGAGGGCATAGTCTTGGAATATCTCGGGATGATAACAGGATGATAACCGGATGCCTCCTTTCCGTGCTCTTCCTCTAGGTGCGCCCATGCGACCACTGTGGGGAGATGAGAAAAACCACCAACTTCTGCCGTGGTGAGGAGGTTGGGCCCTGAGGATAGCAGATGGAGACATGCCGAAACGCATCGAAACGCTCAAGAAAACACAGAGAGAGAGAGAGACCTTGTGTATTTCTTATAGCATCTTATAGAACTTATAGCCAACTTGTAGCTCTTGTGTAGTATTGTCCTTTTTCTCTTCCCCACGCAAAACTCAGTCCCAATGGCTATGTGCTGCTTGTCAGCTCACCAACGGAGGCGCTGGAAACACTGGATTGACTAGGGACTTGCTGGTGGTAGAGTTGCTACTTTAGGGGCCGGGGTTTTGGTTGCTTAGGAGATTACTTTCCCCTATTTCTTGCGCATCTTATCAGTATTAGATCTTATTCATCGCATGGATTCATGGAACATTTTTCTTACGCAGTTATGGGCTTCTAGGGTAGTCGGAGTATGTTAGGGCGCCAAGCCGCTTGCGGATTTTGAAGCTATGGTCCAAGGCACTGTGGGACAGCGGATATCCAGTTGGACAATCACAACCACCGATGCAGGGTATGATGCAGGGTATGATGCTGGCACACCCTGATATCCAGAGCCCTGGTTGGCTGCTGTATATTGCTGTATGGCATTGGATCCATTGCTGCTGAGGGCCAGTTGGCCCATGTTGGCCCCATCTTTTGTCGAATGTACTGCTGTGTTGATGGGTTTGTTGCCATGAAGTTCAGGAGCCACAGCCACGACAGCCGCGACGTTTTCGATGAATGACATTGCGATGTGACCAGTGAGATGGAAGAAATACGACTGTGACAACCTCTGATTACCTGATTTGTCTGCAGATCCTACATGCGCGAAGCGCATGGCTGGAGTGTTTGAAACTAGCCAATTTTCTGCCTCACAAGATGGCCCGCTGGGTAGCTTGTGACGAATGCACTTTGGAATGCTTAACGCCACCCAGCGCAAGACTTGCTTTCAACAAAGACAAAAGTCAATCAGATCAGCCGAATCATGTTCGCAGGTCGGATGCAGATTGCCGCTAGCACACGGCTAAAGTGCTCCTAAGCCGGTTTCAGTTCCTACAAACAGCTGTTTCCTAAACGACCAAAGTTCAATCACTGACATCTCTGAGTGCATCATAGCTGCTCACAACTGATACCGGTGATACCGACACCTGAAGCTCTTCACAAGGGGCCGTGAAATCGACAGGTGTTTGTGACATTTTGTGACGACATCCCGGCAGGGTATGCACAATTTAGGCATTTTTTTCATGCAGGGCATGGCAGTGCATGTCAGATATGGCAGTGCTGGTTCAGGTCTAGCCTTCGGAGCGCGACAGAAACAGAAGAGGCGGGGATTGGGCAGAGTCTTGCTGTCATGCTGTCCTGTCGTGATGCGACCTCATTTTGGTCTTCGCCTTCTTTTACTGTGCCCCTTTTTCTCACCTTTGCATTCTCTTGATAGATCGTCACAACCATTGCGCCATGTATTGATGGGTTGTTTTATGGCGTCAGGCTGGATTTCAGATTGGATTAGCGCCAACAATTGAATACAGGTTTCAACCAGAGAAACAAAGTCAAACAATTTGCCATTTTGCCATTCCATGTCGAATTCTTAGGCTCACTGCAGCTCAAACGCATGGATCTTGGTGAAACTCTGGTGAAGCCGTGAAGCCTCTGTCAGGTTTTGCTCCAGGGCCTTTTCTTGGTTCCAAAATGTTCCAAAGAACATCAAGAACAAGAATTTCATTCAATTTTATTGTCGAGATTTGTCGAGGGTCCTCATGGTCCTCTCTTCTTTCTGTGGCATTGCAAGCTGCTGCAAGCTTGTGAAATCTGACCAACATGAGACACATATATGAATCATATGAGACCCTGGACTGTGCCGGACGGTGACGGTGTCAAAATCGAGGCTGAAGCCACAGCCCGTCTTCAAGCGACAAGGTAGTGGCATCGTAGACAGGACAGGATGGACAGGGACAGGGCAGGACTTTCGCAGGACTTTGGCTCTGCCCCGAGAGCTTCAGGGCTCCATAGGAGTCACCCAGGTTGCACGAGGTGCCCACAACGCCCTCCGCAGGAGCAGGATGAGCTCAGCTGGTTCTGACAACGATAGCGATAAAGGCGGTAGTGCCTCAAGAGCTCGCAGGCGGCACATGGCGACACAAACGGACACAAAGTTGCTCTTACCTTCTAAGATCTTCTAAGCGTTCTAAGATCTTCTAAGATCTTCTAAGCAGGGAAGATTGAACTCTTTTTTTCCGAGGCATTTGGACCCTGAGGATCGAAATGCGCAATGATTTATATTTAGATATATTTAGAAATCTATTTAGAAATCTTCTCTGGGAAGCTTTGGTGAACGATAATGACCATGACACGTTGGTTGGGTTTTGCTATGTCTTGCTGGAGCTCCAAGTGCAAATTGGGCACAGCAGGGGATGATCTCATGGAATGTTTCACCTGCTCGCACAGGCGCGGCAGGTGTAAGACCAACAACCAGGACACAGGCCAGAACCCTGGAACCTTATGAACCTTAGCCCAATGGCATGCCTTGCGAGCAATTCATAGTAATTACTTCATTGTACTTCATTGCTACATATTGCTAAATATACTAAGGGAGTAGCGGGAAAAATGCTTGGAAATTGAAATGTGTGATCTTGCTACGCTGGCCTGTTGGCCAAGTACAATATCAGTAATTAGCAACAAGATGGCTTTTCTGTGAAAATACGCGACAACCAGACAGCCGTGTCTTGTACAATCTTGTGCATATGCCCTGTCGGGGCATTTTGATGCATTTTGGATAATACACGGCGTTCGGTCAACAATGCCCAGGTGACACCAGCTGAAGCCCCAGTTGAAGCATGTTGAAGCCATGGCATGTTGGAAATTCAGGTGTCGCCAGGAACGGAGGCTGTAGTTTTGGCACCCTTTTGCAAGCCACCAGGAAGATTGAACGTGTGAGCACATGTGAGCATGTGACTTCGTTCCGTGTTGCATCGTTTCTCTTTGTTTGGACTTGCACTGCTTGCACTGTCATTTGGATTCATTTGGCACTTTTTGAAATCTCTGTCAACGTTGGGCTTGTGAGAACTGCCCAGGCTTGCGCGCGCGTGATGATAGTGCAGAGGAGGGCTCGTCAGAGTGCCCATTCGATTGCGCCCAGTCAGTGCTTGACTGTTTGATTGCAGTACTTCAGAATATTGTCCGATTTAGATCTCTTAAGATAATAACAAATCATAAATTAAATGTAATAATTAAACGATATAGATGTGGCTGGTGTCTCTAAGGCCTGCTAGACGTGCGAAGCTCACTCGCGCCAGCACCGCCAACTTTGGTGGCAAACCGTAGCACCCTCAGAGGGCCCAGAGTCCTATGCACCGCTTAGCTTGGACTGGTGCACATTTTCCAAATCTGTGGGGGTCGGGTGCCGAAGAAATTGGAAAGATAAGTGGCAAAGAGGACACCTGTGGTGTTGTGCGAGGACATATGCTACAAATGGTCCAGTCGTTTTTTACATGCCATGCCTCGAAAAACGCTGCTGAGTCCGAATTCTTTCCAGAATCCCTCTTTTGGACTGGCTATCCGAGGAAAGCAGCAGAATCTAGTCTTAGACAGGTCAACCCAACACGCTTTGGCAACCTCCTGGTTTTGCAGTTCCTTCATTTGAACAGGTTCATCAGGTTCACGATGGCAGATGACATCAGATTAAAATAGATTACCATCAGATGACCCTTTTAAATCCTTTTAAATCCTTTTAAGCTGCTTGTATGCTGCTGGTAGCTGAGTGAAATCCACATGCCATGGCCTCATATCTCAGCATTTTCAGCTCAGCGCATCGCGAGTGGTCGAAGTCAGACGAGACGGGTTAGACGAGTCCCGCATCATGGCCGACACGAAGCCAAGACGCAAGATCACGGCAGAAACTTGGATAACTTGGACCAAGAATCCACTCATGAATCATTACTAAGTAATGCTAAGATATGCTAAGTATTTATATACTTTTATATGCTATAATCCGCTCATTTATCGAGATTTTGGATGTTTTTGGATGTTTTTGGTGCATAGTGTCATCCCACATCCTTCCACAACATGGCACACCACGACATCCACGACTTGACCATTTCTTTCTGACAATTCCCAGGACGAGTTGGCCAAGCACAACACCGATGAAGACGCGTGGATGGCTATCCATGGCCTTGTCCTTGACCTGAACAAGGAGTCGAGCATCGATGATCATATGATCATGATGCCATCATGATGCCATCATGATGCCATAGGATCATGGCAGTACATTATGGCAGTGTTTAAAGGAACTGTGTGGCTTCTGTTTTCTGCATCTTGGGTCTTGGGACTGTCTTTTAAATAGTGGATTCCAAATGCTTCCAATTTTTTTTCTGCCAGGAGTTTCTTGATGAGCACCCGGGTGGCCCCGATGTGGTCACAGCATTAGCCGGAAAGGCGATCCGTGTAGACTATATGATGCGGATGATAATGGGAATCAGAACGATTGAACGATATTATAATGTCGGTATGCATATATATATATATACATATATAGTTGTCCATTTTATTATCTATTCATTTGACTATAGTCATGATAGCTAGAAAAGATAAATAATTGTTAGATAATCGGTTAAAGTACTGACGAGTTGATCAAATTTTGCTGCTTTTTGTGATGGGCCGTCAGGATGGGACTCAAGATTTCGAGGACATTTCTCACAGCGACAGCGCCCGTGAATGGGCCAACAAGTGCCTTGACCAATGGAGTGTCTCCATTCTTTTCGAATATTTTCGAAATATTTTCGAATGTAGCTGTAGCATTTCGATGATGGCTACTGGATCCAACCGGTTCATATCAGTTCCACAGAGAAAGTGGGCCATGAGATTTGGACCCCAGGCTGGTGATTGGCTACATGGAGGGTGCGGCGGAAGAAGAGGCAGAGCTTAAGACAAAACGCGTTCCAAAGCATTCAGAGGCCTGTGGAAACGCATACATGGTGGCATGTTTGACATTTTACAACAGGATGTGGTTGGGAAAAGTGCTTTTTGGCAAACTGATGCACATTTTAAACCAAGACTGATTAATGTCCTGATCTTTCCAAGTTGATAGTGACCAGATGTCTGGGATGTTCACAAGTGGTTGGATTGGTTGGGGTTAGTTGGGGATGTTGTGAGACCTGAGGCAGCGAAAGCGGGAGGAGCAGGTGGAATTGGTGCCTTTGTGCCTGCAGTTGTGGTTTTGGCCTTGGCCATTGCAGCCTACTTTTCCTGAACAAAGCCTAGGCACATCTAGGCAAGGCACCTTGTCAGCAGCATCCTGACGGACCTGCACGGTATTTTGGCCTCTGAAAGGGTTCCTTTTTCAGTGAAAGCGCACTGAAACAACGGAGCACCGTGGAACACCACTAGTTTTGCTGATCTTCGTGTTG